CAATTTGGCTCCAATCTCAGTCGCCGTCCGAGAGATGTGCGCATTGATAAGCGCCGTGAACTTTGAACCCGAAGCCTCCAGCACTCAAATTTGATCTCTTCTTTTTGTTTCTTGCCCCTCACAGTGGCGGATTTATGAATTTTTTTAACGTACTTTTTTATGAAATATATAAAGCTGTTTAGGCTTTTTAATCTTTATAGTTTATTGACAAATAATAAACTAGGCAATCTATTTAATATTAGTTTAAATTTAGTTTAAAGATATACTCAAAATATAAGTACATCTATAAATTCCCCCAAAAAAGTAGTACCTATTTTTTGTTGTTGAATTGATAGATTTTTGAAGCAACTTCAAGGAGTTACCACTGTACTATACCCGGAACCCCTACTCCACCTCAGATCATCGACTGACCGCCTCGGTCAGCAGTAAATAATACCGATGAAACGCGGTTTTCGGTCAGCAAATAGGCGGCAGAGTCGTGGGATGGGAGGGGATAATGGGAATAATGGGAGCTGGGACCTCGATGAGGTTGTTGATACCGACGACAGCGCGCCCCTTTGTGCTCTGCGCCGTACGGAATTCAATGCGAAGAGCGCAGCAGGAACAGCACTCGTGATTAGCACATAAAGTTATTTTTATTTAGTTTATTTTATCCAGCCAACTGCTGCTGCTGTGGTTGTTTGCCCTGTTTGCGTTTCACGCTTGACATTTTCCGCCAGAGCTTATCAGAGCCAAACACGACCAAATACGTTTCTAATTAAGGCCCGCTTCGGAGATCCACACATCCAGATCCAGGTCACGTGTATTTGCCTGTCTGATTACGTTTTTTTCTTGTTTTTTTTTTTTTCTTTTTTTGTGCGGCTGCTGCATTCTGGTTATCAAAGATTTCCAGACCCTCGACCCGTTCCCCTTTGGCTCCCGCTCTTATCACTTATCAGTGAATTTTGTGCTGAAACAAAAGTGAATCGATAAGCAAGGGCAAATGCAAAATGCAGCAGCAGGGAAAAAAAACCGAGAATGAGGTTGACAAAGGCCAACTTAAAATGTTACTCGGTCTGGCATTTTCCTAAGCCTCTCTTGACACTTTTTACTTGCAGTGTAGAGAGACAAGGTGGAAAGAAGAAGTCCATTAGACAGCCCGAAATGTTAATCTGCGTTAATTAAACTTTCAGCCAAAAAACTGTCCAAGTGATCAGAAAATTCTGAGGCGGATGCCATAGAAAATTCATATTTAAATAGCACTGGCACAACTAAGCCCCTAGGAGCTTGCACTTTCCCAGCTATGTGAATGTGTCACTCTGTGGGCCAATAAATTTCATTAACTTAATTGAATTAAGCAAAAACAATGATAATAGTTCGGAATTACCCAACCCGTGTGCTAAATTAAGTATTGTAATCATGAGTTGAGTTGTCAAAATGATAAGATAATTTACTAAATAGGTTGAATCGTAAAAAAAATTGACTAGGTTTGGTATTAAGAAGGACAATTTAAAAATAGCACGTAAGACAGTCAAATTATTATTTTATTAAATAAACAAATGTAATTATTCAGTTCTTGAATTTTTAAGAAATGGCATTTCTCTATTTCTTCTGGTCATATGATGATCCTGAGCTTAAAAACCTATAAGCTTATACTTTTTTATATATTCTAAAAATTAAAAACTAAATTTTAGACCCCCTAAAAAGTGTGTATCCCTTGAAATGTGTACCTGAATTCGGAATTTTATCAACCCTTGGCCAAAAAGTCATTCCAGCGTTATTCATATGGAGACATGGCCATGAATAATGTCAGTTAATTATGCTCCATGTGTGTGTATGAATCAGACCCAGAGTGTGTGACTATGTGGCGGGATTTTCATAAATAAATTTGCACTTAACAAATGAGCAACATAAGCAAATTGTTGCTAAGCGCAGCAGCAACAGGCGGCGGGGAAATTGCAGCTCGGTGAGGAGGAAAATGGAGAAAAAACAACAAGGAAGTCCGTAATACAAAGCATGGCTCAATGGGAGAGAAAGATAGCAGCAATTTGAGCTGCCAAACAAGGGCGAGCAACAACGACAAGAATAGCAGCCATCTGAACGGCGGAATTAAATTTTAATTTTAATCGCCAAAAAAGAATAAACAAAACAAACACATGGAGGAATACAAGGAAGCGACTTATTCATCTCGTATGTATGTATACCAATGCATTTATGTACATTCGTATGTATACATAATGGGGATCGGCGTGCAGACAAATAAATTTCCAAGCAGAAGGCAAACGGCCGCTGTGCAGCCCAACTGAAAATGCAAGCGCACAGCTGCGGTGCAAATAGTAGGAGTCTCACACAAAGCCAACAAGTGAGACTAATTAAATAAATATTTTCAGAGCAAATATAATAATATATAAAGCGAAATGCACTTCCTCATGAGTAAGGGATTTATATTGATGCATGCATTTCTTTATTATTGCAATATTGGCACATGTTCAATGACACAGTTGTACTAATTTGTTTAATAAATCATCTTACTTACGAGTAGTAAAAAGATCTCACTACATCAGCCATCTCAAATTTAAAATAGTACTTGATCTAAAGTGAATTAGGTTCAATGGCCATATTCGTCTGTCCCCAGCTGTAGACGACGCATCGTGGAATTTAATAAACACCGAACACAGAACAAAACAGAACCGAACGCTGGCATAAAGGCTGCGGATTTGTACATAAATCCCTGCGAGACGATCGCCAGAACCTCAGCAACAACAGCCATGGAACCCAAACAACAACAACATGTTGAACAGGTCGCGGACTCCAGGTAAAACGGACAAGGGACAACAACAACAGGCGGCAGGAAGTGTGCGAGTGCGAGCGAGATGGCGTCGATAAGGCAGTGCCACTGATAAATATCGATAAATGGGCAAGCAGCGCAGGTAGTGGAAAAGACCAGAAAAACACCAAAGGAAAACTGAAGAGGAGGATAGATAGTAGGAGTAAAAAGATGCTGAGGGGGGCGCGACAGAGTAACAACGAAAACAACAAACCAAAAATACAGAATAACCAAAAAAAAAACAACCAAAACAGCGAGCCACAACACAACTGTAAAAAATGCAACAAGAAGAACCTGCTTGTAAAGCAACAACAAGGAGAGAGGGAGAAGGCAACAAGAACACGAAAAACAACGCGACAAAGTAATGGAAAAAATTGTTAGAGGCAAGAGTCTAAAATTAAAACAAGCGCGAAGGAGATAGACATACAGAGAGAGAAGGACGGAGATCCAGAACGAGTTGGCGGGAGCGAGCAGGAGAGTGCAACGTATGCAGTTATTCATGTGGGCGCAACAGCAGCAGTTGTTGTTGTTGCTTGCCATTTTGGAGGCCTGCACAGATGAAAAGTCGGAAAATCGTGTAGAAAATCAAATTGCAAAGTCAAACTCCACTTGGACCGTAATGTTGTTGCTTTCGCTTGTTATTTGTTATTGTTTTTGTTATTTTTTGCTGCAATCGTGACGTCAGGGCGCATGCGTTAAAAACAGAAATGCAGCTTTCCTATTTAGCCGTCATCTCAACAATGTTATGGCGTCGCAGCATCCTAAAGGGTATCCCCATTCCGACACAATGTTGGCAACAGTTTTCTTCGAGGGCTTTCCACTTGAGTTTACATTTTCCCCTTAATGCCCACCCCACACTTGGAGGTGGACGGAAATAGAAAGCGGCTATCGAAAACTAGTCATCTGTTAATCCAACTGGAAAAAGGGTATCACGAGGATTGAATTAAGTGGGCTTCAGGCTTGCATACCCCTTATAAAGTGGGGATATCGAGAGTGTGGAACCATTAAAGTATTTCTAACAAAGAAATCCAATAGAAACCCCAGACAAACCCACAAATTTCATAAAAATGATAATAAAATTACTCAAACAACTTAGCATATGGTCGTATTTTCAGTGCTATTTCAGGGAAATAAAAATTGAGTCTTATCAAAAATATTCTGTTAGATAAAATGCAATAATCTTTTTGAAAGCAACCCTATTATAATAATATTTGGTGGAAATTTCTCTATATAGCATATTATCGAACCATGTACTTTTATATTAATATAAAGTGATCTTTTATGTACTTTCACTTATTTATCCACTTATTTAGAGCATATTATCGTTTTATTAATTTAAATATGTTTCCAAACCTCTTCTATTTATGTAATCTCTTGCAAAATGTCTCACTCATTGTTATTCTGAATATTACAAAGGGTATAGAAAAATCTAATTTTTCTTAATTTAACCAAACTTGCTTTATTTATTTTTATTTGGGTAAATTTTGTTTTTGCTTTGAGGAAAATATATGCGGCACTGCGTTCCAGAGTTTGTAGAACTCTTAAAGGTTTCGGTGGTGGAGACAGTACTGGGTTTGGTAGTGGTGCACCCCGAAGGGGGTGTTTTTGTTCCAGCTGGGGGTGGCTTCGGTTTGGCGTCCCCTCTCCAAAGAAAGAAATGGAGCGGAGGCCAAGAGAAGCACTGACAAAATGCGCACATATAAATAGAATCTTGCATTGCGACGTAGTAGCGATTAACCAAAAAATACAACAAAAAAAAGAGCACACGAGGAAAACAATTATAAATTGCGTTATAATTTCAGTGATATGGAAGCGGTGGGAACGTTTATCAGCCAGCGGTTTGGGGTCTGGGGTTCATTAGACCCAAATGCAACGCAAATCCAAGTTCTATATACGAAGTACATTCAACAATAAACAGTGTCTGTGACGGACATGGACGCTAATTGGGCTGTCAAACGGGTTAATGACACCGATATCAGTGGCGGGTGGGGAAATTGGTCTGATTGATAGGAAAAGGTCTTTGAAATGGTGAAACTCATATAATATAAAGTCTTACAGGTTTTTCTTATTTCAAAATAAATATATAAAAACTTGTTCTAGCAAGACAGCGGATTGAAGCGACCGTTATAGATCATGCGGAAAAGCTGATGCTTGAATATGTTTAATTACTACTTAATTATTTACAATTACTTACCGTTTCACCATTTTGTTGGTTACCCCCGAGTTGTTTTCCTGCTGAGTGCCAATATCAACGGATCTGTTATAATCCAGTTTTGATGTAAAGATTTTAATGCGACGGAAATTAATTTTGCCGATCTTTTTGGTAAACCTTTAAAATAATGAATAACGGATAGGTTGTATTATTTTATGTTTAATTGCTTTTTGCACCGCGTAGACGACTTTTACTTCCTAGAATTGGAATATTCAGGGGGCGCAGCGCAGCAGGAGTCCAATTGGAAAACAAAGCAGACACGAAAACAAGAAAAAGAACAACAAATGGGAGAGCGAGAGCGAAATAAATGCCTCAAATGAAGTATGTACATAATTTTATTTATATTTCATGCGTTAATTGCTTTGCTTTTTATTATTCTGCCTGCCGCGGCTGCGACGCCAACGCAACGATTTAATATGTATTCTTGTTGTGGTTTTTTTGTTTGCTTCTTATTTCGTTGCACGGAAAGGCACTTTATTGATCCGCTTTCGCCGTAATTATATTCACGTTTCTGCATTGAGTGGAAAACGGCGGAGATTAGCACGCAATATGAATGCACTTTAGATTCTTCCCCCCATCCCCAATCCTCCGCCGCTTTTCCGCTTTTCCACTTTCCTTGCGGCGCTTAGTCACTCGCACACACACACAAAATATTCACTCTGCAGCGATTTGCATTCGCCTTTTCATTTTTACCTCTCGAACGCGATTTATTCAGCAATTTCTGCCCTGCCCCCGCTTTTATTTATATTTTTGCTATATTGCACACTGAGGGACTTGGATTTTCCCGTGTTATTTTTCTATACACATAAACAAAGCTCGCGGCGTTTGGCTTTTCTGCATCTCGCGCGCGTTCTCGGTTGGATTTCGCTTCGGTTTCGAACGCCTTGGCAATTTTCGACTCGCTGCGGCTTCAGTACGCCTCCGTGTTATTTTTGTTGTTAATTGTTAACAATAAAGCAGTGCAGCAACAACAAATACAGCGATGCGCGATGAGACTGTGCGGGCGGTGGTTTTTTTTGCGTTTGTTGAAGCAGTGTGGCCAGTGTTGTCACATAAAACTGTTTGCCCAAAAACCGTGAGACCGTCAGTGAATAGTTGCGAAAATACCCTCCTTCTGGTTGTGGATAATATACTAAAAGGGAATATTATGAAATATGGTACTTTTAAATACTAAAAAATTGCCCTAACTGTGTTGCCAGCTTAGCTTGTTTCAGGCTGGATCTAGTATATTTGAATTTGGAATAGCCTTAATATTATATTACAGCAATAAATAAATTTATTTTATAAAATAAATGGTTAAACATGTTCCTCCAGCCGACACTCAACTGGAGTCTTTAGAACCGCAGGACCTACAGCAACATGAAGCCGATGGTTTCTCCATTTACCACTGGATCAAATTGAAGAAATCCGGGCCCTGAGGTGAATTCACATTCCATTCGCAATTCCTTTACCATTTGTGGCAAGGAAGATAAGAAAAACCTCCGAGCCGCCCTTTTCCTAATTTAAGCTATTTACAGCTTAAAAAAAGTCCACTGGTGTATAATTTAAAAATATTATAGAAGTATAATTATAAATAGATTATATAGAAAGGCAGAAAACAAAAGATAAGAATACACTGTAGTCAACTAAACTGAAATTGAATATTTGCAATCTATTTAAAATTTCACAAAATGTAACAAAATGTTACCAATGAACCTTATCGCAGTGAAGTAATTGATATTGAAAGTTGGTATCTTAATTGCTTGATATGCAAGAAAGACATAATCATCATCTTAAAACAGATTTTACCAGCACCGAGGAATACACTGGCACTTCTTGAGCTACGAATTAACAGAATATATTTTGCAATGCCAAACTACGATCACACGGGCGGTGCTCCAGTGGCCAACCCAGCTTATCGGCTACGAATCTTACGACTATTATAATGGTTGTATGCATTATGTGGATCAGGCCGGTGGGCTTGGTGGGGGCTCAGAACTCGCTGCTCTTGCCGTCGCAGGCCACGATCTTCACTTTGTCCACCTTGACGAATTCGTGCACCTCCCGGAACTCCACATCGTTGAGCATCAGTGTCCAGACATTGTCGCAGAATCTGTACGTGTTCAGTTTGCCAGCCTTGAAAGTCACCCGCGCCTTGACCCTCTGGTTGAGGGCGTTGTTGATGCTCTTGTCGAACTGCAGGAGCACCTTAAAGGCCAATCCTGGTGTGATCTGTCCGTACTGCAAGGCGAAAACCCCGGATTACATTGCGATGTTTTTGCCAGCTGCCACCATTTTGTGGGCGAGCCAAACCTCACCTGAATCAGCTCGTCAAGGCTTTCCTGCAGGGTGTTACCCAGCGTGGTGTTGCGGTAGAGCTGGTAGGACATGGCACCTCCGTTTCTATCTGTGTATTGTTTTTTTTTTAATAAATTTTCACAAAGAACCAAAGAATGCGAAGCAATAACAGCAGTGTGGCCAGATGAAAATTTGGCTTACCCTAAAAAATCCCCAAAAACGCAAAAAACGCAGAAACCCTCATGAACGCGCGGTTTGGCATCCAGTGCTGCCCATAACTTCGTTTATCAGGGGTTTTAAACTATTCTAGAGGGCGCTGCAGATGCTTGACCGTTACTATTTAAACATAAAAAGAGATGAGATCAGTCAAATTAGAGTTTGATTTGTAACGTAACATAATGATATCATATATTATTTGAAGGATATATAAACCTATACAGGTTATTGCTCCGAAATCTATTAATTCGGTTTGCCTCTTCTCATTTTTTAACGAAAATCTAACGGGTTTAGGTATTTATCTCTGCGAGCACACTGAGTGAATCCCAAGTAACCGATGCACTGCCGATTCCCAGAAAAACCGAGATCATTAGAAGATGAGCAAGTATCAGGTGCGGACTTTGAGCGAACCCTGATAAGGACCGTGAACTGAGCTAAGTTTTATAAACACTAGATAAGCACTATTGATTGGGTTTATTAATATTCATATTATCTATGTACATATTTCATTTTCGAATCAACTAAAGCATACATATGTTAGTTATTTTTATTTTAGGGAGATGAATAAAATAAAACTGGTTTTCGCAGAAACGCACAGCCTTTGTATGTACATATGTATGTACATGTGGCTCTGCTTATGATGCTGATCAAGAATATTCATACGTACATCCTCTATGGAGTCTCTCTACACCTTTTTTTACCCTATGGGTTCTGAGTATAAAAAATAATACACATCATCCCAGAAATTGTACAAAAAGCACCATAATAAAATACTCAAATGTGCAAATAATAATCAATCAAGCGTACGCTTGCATATTTGTGAAAGGTGATTTCCCTGTTATCAGTGAATCCCAAGTGCTTACCCCGTCTGTAGACGCTTGAAAAAAAAGTTTGAGCAGATAAAGAAACCGGTATTAAAGGGCAAACGAATTGAATAAATTCAATAAACAGATTTTAGTCTCATCCGAAACACCGCTCGACGCAGTTCACAGAATATAAGATGAGCAAGTGGATTCTCGCCGTGCTGTTCCTCTGGAGCTATTCTATTACTCAAATATTTGCCGAAGAAGGTAAGCGTTTTGCTTTAAAAAAATGTTTGAGATTTTTTGTTTGTTTTCTTTGTTCCCAAAACATGAGATTATTGGCGGCACTGCAGCCCATCCGAAAAAGTTCCCAGCGGCAGCACGCCTGGGCTATCGCGATAAGGCCCGAAATCAAACCACATGGTTCTGCGGTGGCACATTGATCAGCAAGCGAGTGGTTTTGACGGCTGCCCACTGTTTCTACACAGATATGTAAGTGTTTAATCATAAGTTAAACTATAATTCTAATTACAAATATTTCCAGTGGAGCGGTGAACGTGGTCCGGTTGGGAGAACTAGTCTTCAACAGCGACAAAGACGATGCCCAGCCGGAGGATTTTGAGGTGCTAAAATTAAAGGAGCATCCAAGTTTCAATTATCCCGCACTCTACAACGACATAGGACTCGTCCATTTGAGTCGGGATGTGGTATTCAATGCTTATAAGATCCCCGCCTGCCTGCCCTACACCAGTGGCCAGCAGCTTCGTTACTTCATAGCCATCGGCTGGGGTCTAACACATGCTACCCGAGGGCAGCAGTCCAAGGAGCTGAGAAGAGTGGACCTCCAGAATTTTGGAGTGAGATGTGCGCAAACTACGGAACGGAACGAGGATCTGCCCAATGGATTCGATGAATTGACCCAGTTGTGCGTGGGATCTCCGCAGCACAAGGACACCTGCAACGGGGACTCGGGCGGGCCCCTGCTCATTCGCCATATTGGACAAGGATGTGCCTACCAAGTCCTTGGTATAACCTCAGTGGGCATAGCCTGTGATACTCCGGGCATTCCCAGTTTGTACACAAAGGTGTTCTTTTACCTTGAATGGATACGAAGTGAAATGAATGCTATTTAAATTTCAAATTAGTTGATTAGTGAAATAAATTATTTAATAAATAGTAAAATGATAACGAACAAATTAACAATAAAACGCAACGTTTTTACCATTTAGTTCTCTGTTTTGTTTTTACTCTTTATTTGTTTTGTGTGTGTGGTTTTCCGCTAAGAGTGATTCCATTTCATGTTTTTCCGTTTTACAATTATAATTTTACAATAGTTTCAACTAAATAAATAATAACAATTTATAAATATAATTTCTCTTACTTCTTCCCTCCCGTACATCGCATGCTCGGCTTGTTTATAAATAATTTGATCGCATCGAGTTCTAAACAACACTTTCTGGCATAAACAATAATTTGAAAAATCGTTTTTGATTTCTTTGATTTGATGTTCAATTTGCTTTCTTGATCATTACGCGGTGTGTTCAACTTAGTGGCTATAAATACCAGCTAATGCTACCTAAATATATATAAATATATAAAAATAAAGGTCGAGTCTACAAATTGCAACGAAATAACAAAAAAAAAACCTATAGAAACCGAGGATCTATATGCAATAAATAAATACTTAAGTACTAACATCTGTAGCTTATGTACAAAACAATGTCAAGTTTTCTAAGAAGCCAAAAACCGATTTGCTTATTGTGTTTAGAACCCTCTCTCTCTCTCATCCTTTGTAACTCGATTTCCATTAACATCTCTTTGCTGTTTTATTGTCTATTTCAAAGCGCCGCCCGGCGCGACGCAACTAAGCGGGGGAGTCTGGCTGTGAACCTGGTAAAGAATACATACGAAACAAACTCCGGCGGCTGAGGATGACATCTATATGTATAACACTAAACTCTATGCTCTGGTATCGTATGTGTGGATAGCTTTACGCGACTACTACTTGTGCCCGATGACGAGCGTGTAGTTGGCTGTGCTGACTGTCGACGACAACGCCGACAGTGCTGGTCATTTGGCCAGCTTGAGGATCTCCGTTCGGCCAGCCGGAGTAACCGTGGCAGTAGCTCCCACTCCCACTCCCACTGCTGCTGCAGTTATTGGTCCAACTCCCGATCCCGTTGCGGGCGGAGCCGGTGCAATGCGTATGGGCTTGGCTCGCTGCTGCTGCTGCTGAGTGAAGAGGCCACTCAGTGTGGCCGCCGTGCTGGCGGTCAGCATCATGCTGGAGCCACCACTTGTGTTGTTGGCCTGGCGCTTGCTCCGCGCCAGTCCATTTATTTTGTTATTCGTTGAAGAGGGCGACTGCTGTTGTTGCTGCTGTTGCTGCTGCTGCTGTTGAAGATGATATTGTTGTTGGCCGCCAATTACGGCTGAAGCGGCAACTGCTGATGAGGATGTGGCTGCGGCTGCGGCTGCAGCGGGTGTCGAGGAGGCTGAAATGTTATCCAACTCAGTCATTGCTTCTTGTATGGCCCGCTCGAGTTGCGAGTTCAGTTTGCGGCTCCTTTCGTGAGGTGTTTGTTGTATGTGGTTCGAGTTTTTGGTTTCAGAGGTTGGTTGGTTGGGTTTTCGGGTATTCGTTGGGGTTGTTGGTTGGTCATGATGATGATGATGATGATATTGCATACACACACACACATGGAGTTACACACACGTTGGGGTGTTGGCAGAGGGCAGGGTTTAATTTCAGGTTTTGGTTCAGCGCATTAAAAATAAAGAAACAAGAATATTAATTAGCAAAATTAAAACAGTGAATGTGTAAATAATAATAATTAAAAAAAATAATAATGCATTTTAATGCCAATTCAATAGCTAAACAACTAGAATTCTATCTACTTTTTTGAAGGCTTAACAAATGTAAAGGCTGCAAATAAATAAACTACTAAATAAATTATCTAAATTGCTAAGACTTGAAAAATTAACTACAAACTATAAACAGCTTAAAAAATTAACTACGACAATAGCAAAACTTGATTTTTGCAAAACAATTTTATTAAAAAAAAAAACAATACCTAAATAAGAATACAGCAGGAATTCAACGATATACACTCAGGGGACCACAGAAATAGCTGTGCTTTTGAAATCAATGGAAGTACTGTCCAAAAATATACTACAGGACTTCGAAGGATTGCCAAAAGGGTGAAAGTGAACGATAAAAACCCTTAATTTGTGTAGGCAATTAATATTAAGAGGTTAACATAAATTTATCTTAACGATATAATCAATCAAATAGTTCACAAAATATTTACATTGTACATTTTTTCGTTAACATCGACATTCTGTTCAATATTTTTCGATAAATCCAATTTCGATATATACATATTCGATTTATATCATATCGAGCTCGTTATTTCAAAATAAAACAATAATTGCTAAAGTGATTTCCAATCCACCCAGCTATTTCTGTGGCATCCTTTATATAAAAATAAGAAAAAGGTTGAGCTACATTGCTGGTGTTCTGGTGCTCCGCCTAAAGTTCCCTGAAATCCATTTGCTGTCCCCTGGAAGCTCTAAAAGATCTCTTGTTGTTTGATCCCCCCCTGTTCTTTGATCCCACCCTGCCCACGATCGATGCTCACTTTCTCGTATCCTTTTGGGCTTTGTGATGCGCTTCGAGACCCTCGGAGAGACTCTGCAACGAGTTGACCGGTATCAGTTCGGAGGTGGAGCGACCGCCGCCGCCAAACCATTGGACCCACACATGATCAAACTGTTGCGACGGCGTGCACACTCCGTCGGGCATCTTGACGATCTTACCGGGCCAGGCGGGATGGCCACGGGCCGGACCCCAGATCAGTTCCCCAATGGCAAAGGAGCGCGGCGGCATTAGGAAGTTACCACCTGCCCCGGGCGTGGGCGTGGCACGGGCAGCTCCTCGCTGCGGTCGACGTGAACGCTTGGTCGGCGTCCTGACCGCCTCGACGACGATGGCTGGCGCTGGTTCTGGTATCGGAGTGGCTGCCGTTGCAGTTGTTGTGGGCGACTCTACGAAAGGCACACACACTCACATAGAGACTTGGGGGCTAAGGCTGTGGTTACTCAGTTACAGAGGCGATCCCAGGCACCAGCGGGGGACAGAGGTTACAAATTAAAAAAGAGGTGCAGGTGCAGGTGCAGGTGCAGGTGCAGGAGGTGTTCATGCAGTGGCCAAATGGAAGGTAGTGTCGTGGCAGTGGGTTAGAGTGTGGCGGATGCAGTTAGTGCTGGTCACCGATGGGGCCTTACCCTGGTAGTCAATGTTAACTACTTTGTGGCTGTGGATGAGGGTGTTGTTGGGATTGCTGTTCGCCAGCTGGCGGTGCACAAATTGGCGGTGGCCCGCCACAGCAGTGGTGGTTAATGGGGTAGCCGACAATGATGGCGACGACGACGACGACGTTATGGACATGGAAGCGTTTGCGGATGATGTGGAGTTGATGTGTCGCATACCTTGTCCCTGCATCAAACTAATCCCGTTTTCCGTGACTCCCTGTGAAGTGATGTGAATGCGCCGGATCTTGGGCTCCGAGTGCTTGTATATCCCGCTGGGCTGGGTGAATAGATTGTTGCCGCAGATGCCTAATAGGGGGAGGAATTAGAGAGATTCCGATTAGAGTTCCGTCAGGATTCAAGACAAGCCTTTCCACTTACTCCTCTCACAGTCCGTGGATGAGGGCGACTGCCTGCTCTCGGCACTTTGCGGCGACACAGCCGCATCCGGCTCCGAGCTGGACACGCATTGCACCTGCCAAGACAAGAATGGATTAGGTTACCGCAGCGTTAAGAAGCTTCAAAGCACTCACCATATCGCTGCCGCTGCTTCGATGGCTGGGCGGTCGTTCCGGACTTCGCGGACTACAGGTGGTGGTGTCAGGCGGACTGGCAGCTGCCGTTCCCTGACGATTCATCAACCCGGACTCGGCCACATAGGTGGTGGTCTGGGCGGCTGCAGGCTGTAGGCTGATCTGCGTGTGGGACTGCGGAGCTGGCTGGGGCTGGTGCTGAGGCTGAGGCTGGTGCTGGATCTGGATGGTGGTGGTCGTGGGACTAGCCTGGACGAAGGAAGCGCCGCCCTGCTGGCCGGTCGGCATCACCAGACCCATGGGCGTGGAGTAGATCTGTCCAATGGGGCTCAACTGGCCATTAGCACCCACTATGTACTGCTGACCCCCGGCGCTGGGCGAGATGAAGGAGGGCTTGCTCTGTGGCGACGGTGTGCGCAGCATTACGGGACCCTGGGGCGTCAGTAGACTCGTCGTGGGCATGTTCTGGATCTGCAGTAACGTGGCATCCGGGGCCATCACCAAGCCAGCCGGCATTAGAAGCTGCTGCCCAATGAGATTCACCTGCTGCAGGATCTGGCCGTTTTGGAGGAGCAGCTGCTGGGTCTGCGGGGCCGCTTGTGGATTCGGCTTGTTCACCACGATTCCTTGAATGCCGGGACTGAGCTGGAACTGTTGCGGGAATTGGGGAGCAGCTGCCGCCGCTGCTGCTGCTGCTGCCGCCTGCTGGTGGAGCAGGGCGGGTGCCTGACTGGGTATGCTGGGCGAGATCTGGGGCGATAGCGTCTTAGCGGGTGAACTCGGCGGCGGTGTGCTACAGATTGAGCTCTTGCGCTTTCGCGCTCTTCTCTTGGTGTCCGGCGAGCTGATGATCAGGGTTTGCGCAGGAGGGGGCTGCGGCATGGCCAGCAGCTGCTCCGCTTGCTGTTGGGTCTGGGACTGATGCTGCTGCTGATGCTGCTGGACGATATAGCCGCCGTTGGGCAGTGTGTTGAGCAGAACTGCAGTCTGCGGCTGGTTGGTGGCTCCTCCTGCCGCCTGATTGATCTGCCCCGCCTGCGAGGTGATGATCTGATGGTGAAGCAGCTTGGCCCCGCCAGAGTTCAGGATGACTGTGCTGCTGCTGCTGCTACTGCTGCTGGAACTTGCCGCAGCCACTGCAGTGGGCTGACTGACGATGTAGCCACCGCCAGGCTGCGGATGCAGCTCCGCCGTCTGCTGCTGCTGTTGCTGCTGGATGATGACACCACCCTGTCCCGGCTGACCCGGGCGATGGTGTTGCTGCGCCTGTGCCTTGTTGCTGGGCGTGGGAATGACCAGAAGCTGTCCCGAGGACGTCATGATCAGTTGGCCACCGCCGCCCGAAGGACCCATTGCCCCGGCCATCGACTGAAGCTGTGCCACTGCAGAGTTGGAGCTGCTCAAGGTGGTGGTCACCGGGCGTGCCGTTAAAGTGCCCGTGCCCGCCGTGGAGGTCACAATGCTTCTGGTCAGCGTGGCCATGGCTGCACTGCTGCTGGCCACTGGCAGCCGCTGGCTGGATATAAAATGTGCCTGCTGCTGCTGTTGCTGGCGCATCACGCGGAGATGGGCGGGCACGGTGACTGGCGCTGGAGTTGGAAGATTGCCCTGGGGCTGGGTGCGCATCTGCAGCACCTGCGGCTGGATCTGGACCTGCAACTGGGGCTTGGGTGAGGCCGAGGGTGTGCTCTTCGCCGAATCCATTGAATCTGTGGGCGAGGAGAGGCTCTGCCGCGGACTCTCGTGGCTGGTGGAGATGGCGCCCACCTGTTCGGGTCGCTTCTCGAGTGGCGGCGTTTCGGCAGCACTGCTGGATACGGGCGACTCCTGGGGAGCTGGCACCACAGTTACGCTGGTTATCTGCGGTTTCTGTGGCCGCGCAAAGGCGGTGTCCACCTGCAGGGAACGGGCTCCGACCATGGGAGCACTTTGTGGACTACTCACGGGCACTGGCTCGGCCTCCCATTTGCCAAAGAGCGAGAGTCGTCGCATCCTTTGGCGCTGCAGCTGTTGGAGTTGCTGCTGTTGGAGATTTTGCTGTTGCTGCTGCTGCTGTTGCTGGGAGCTATGCACGATGGGTTCCTGGGGCAGAGCTCGCGCAGTGGATGTTGCCGGCACTGTTTTGGTTATATCCAGACCCACTCCTCCCAGGGAATTGTGGAGCAGTGCCGTTTGCTGCTGCAAATAGCCAGCGGGATCGTCCTTGAAGTTGGGCTGCTGCTGTTGCTGCTGGGTAATGTTGGTGGCTCCTCCCGCAAAGGCAACAGTCGCTGGAGGCGGCTTTATCACATGTCCCGCCACTGAACGCTGGGGTGCAGCTCCGCCAGCTGGAGCTAATGCTTGACTAGTTGGCACCGCACTCGAGACCGGAAGCTGGAGCGGAAGCGGGTGCGAGGACGTCGCTGTGGACGCGGGCGTGGTCGAGATCCGGACCGAGGCAGGTAATTTGTTATTGCCATATTTGTGGCAATCAGCGTCTGCAAATGGAGCAACAAATTGAAAAGGCAAAGTCAGTGAAAGGTCAAGATACACATTCTCTCTCTCTCGCTCAGGCTCCGTTTGGTTATGCAAAGCGCGTCGCGTCCTTAAAGTGCCCGCAACGTGTCCGAACCCCACCGAGAGCAAAAGCCACCCACAAAGGTCGGTTAAAGTTTGAAAGCCGAGGCGGAAAAGGGATACAAAAAGGGGGCCAAGCGACCCGAATTAAATCAGAGCACACAGACAGAGAGACAGACGTGCGGCAAAAGGTTCCACTCCACAAAAGAGAAATGCTGGGCTGGTCTATAAGCTTAAGCATATAATGGCAGACTTATAATTAAAAAGGTTTACCTCCCCAAAAAACAAAAAGGCAGCGATGCAGGCCAACCGCGGTGAAATTTAAATTCATTTAGCTAGGCAGGCAACAACGATTCCCAGTAAATACTCGCCACACCCACACAGACCGCATCCTGGCCAGCCAAGGGCGTCAGTCCCCCATCACCCACACCCACAGAACCACCCACCAAACTGCGATGGCTCGCGAAAATTTCTAAATCGCGCAAAACTTTTGCTTTGTGCGGGCGGTTTTAATGCGACGCTGATTGGACTCTCCACCCCGAAGGATTGCTGGGGGAGGATTGCAAGTGAATGGCTGGTAGATTGCTCCAGTCTGGGCTGCATACATACTGTACAAGGTGTGGTGGCAGTGGACGCGCTCAAGCAAACTTTTGCCATCAAGTCCCTTTTGTTTCAATTAACCTTTTCATTTTAAAGTTTTTAACAATGTTTGCCAAATGTTGAGCCGAGCTGAGCGGGAGTTATCTTCTCTCCCTTCGGAAATGAATGAATGAATGAATGAATGAATGTGGGAGCAGCTTGCGAAACCCTTTTACCCCCCAATCGGCAACAGTTTTGCCGTGTTGTTTTCCCTTTTTTTTTGCTCCCCTGCAAATATCTCAAATGGAAATCAAATTGCTTTGAATTGCTGGAAGAAGAACCCTTTCAGAAACTCAACCCGCCTGCGGCTGTTGCAGATAACAGCGTAGTTTGGGATGCTGAATTGCTGCGGTGCGGTGTCAATGGAAGGGAAAGTTTCTGCAACTGCTGCTTCCCGGTTGATTGCAAACGGGGACTGGGGACTGGGGGAATCCAATGCAAATAGTCCAGCGAATTAGTTATATACCTCAGCACTGGCCGGTGAAAAAGAGTTGTAGAAAACTCAAATACAAAGGTTTTTAGACGGCCATTAATAAGGAATTTCTTCATACGGCTGTCGTTCTTAGGTATAGACAGTGGGAAGTACTGTCAACTAAGAAAAAACTTCCTAAACAAAAGGAAATTTCTCCGTTAACTTTAAAAAGGTTTCCCATTTTCAGGCAAATAGCCCTAAAAACAAGAAGATTTTTCTAAATTAAAAAGTGGCCTTCTTATGGCAATTTTAGATAAACATTTTTATAAGTGTATAAGTAAAAACATAGGTAATTTATTTGTACAGTGTCCATGTGCAGCAAAGGCTGGACACAGGACATAATAAAAGTTGCATTCATTCACTTAAATTTCATGAGAAATTCAATTTATTTTATATAAAGCATCAACTTTTATTGTTATAGTATTCAATAAAGCCTCTAAAAATAGAGAAAATCTTGAAAACTTAACAAGACTTTGGGTGTCTCTGGCTAATTGGCTTCCAGTGACACTGAAGTCAAAGAATAACTTTTCCAGTTTTCCCTCTTTTCGTGTCACCTTCAAAAGCTGCTAAAGCTACACCCAAAGACCCATTCCGAGAAATCTAGTGCTTAGAGGCAAAGCTGTCCAAATTGCTGGGAGCATTCTCAAGTGTGAATGGCAGCAGTTGGGGGTCTTTAATAAACATAACATTTATTTATCATGTTGCTTCGCTCGATTTAAAGCGCCTGCAGCGGAGAAAAGCGAGAGGGAAACCGGGAAACTAGGGGAAACCCGGTGGGTGGCATTTTAGAGGAGAGATGGAAGTCTTTGACTAACGCGTTGTTTTGTCGGAAAGCGTCAAGTTCCTTTGACTGGCGTCACACAAAGGACAAAATCAAAACAAGCTGAAGAAAGGATGAGTTGTTTGAATGGGGACAGTAAGCAGGTATGGGTGGGTCGGGAAGCAACCGAAATGCACTTCCTGCATCCATCCCCTATAGAGTAAGCTTGTTGAACTCGGCGCTTTCGCTGTGTGTTTGTATTTGTGTTGGCGTTCGTTTGCCAGTGTTCGCCTTGTATTTTTATCCTCTTCCTGCCCCGTTCCTGACTTCTTCCACCTCCGTATCCTGTGCATCTATCTGTAGCTCTCACTCTACAGCTCTGTATAGCTGTGGGTTTTTGTGTGCAGTTTCACTTTATCATTGTCTAGGCATCGTTTTTCACTTGGCAGCAGAAGCAGCAGCAGCCATAGTGAACATCGAGCACCTTTTTCACTGCATCTGTTTGCAGAGCCTCACGCACACACTCGAAGCATGTGTGTGCTGCTAACAGGTGAGGTCACAATTTTGGAACTATCGGGGGAATAACTAAAATTATGAAGGGGCCATGGTCTCCTTAAAGGGGGAAAGGTAAGCCTTAAGTGATCTTTTTTGTATATATTTTTAGGCAAGCAAGTTTATTATTATTTATTTTGCTTCTGTAATAGGTAATTTCTCTTTAAAAGTAAAAATTACGTTGCACACATCGTGAATATGGTTTATTTTATTTGTTCAATTTATTCTTTTCTTCTTTAATTGTCAAACGTATTTCCCTTTAAGACTTTGCTAAAAATCTTTAAAGTCATTTTCTTAACCCCAACTGTGAGCAAACAAAAGTCTATATGTGTGTGTATAGCAATTGTGTGCACTTCCTGCTGTGCTCCATTTTGGCCTGGCTTTGCTTAGGATTTTCCTTGGCCCAGCCTGCACTTTTCGCACGTATCTACACTAGTTTTCCTTTCGGCCTGACCTCACCTCCGGCCATATCCTTCTCCTTCCGCAACCCATCTCAGGCTCACCCTGTGCATCCGTCGTCGTCGTCGTCGTCGTCTTCGCCTTGTTCGTCGTCAGTCGTTGTCGCTGTCGTCGTTTTTATTGGGGTTTTCGTTTCGTTTCTGCTTATTTTTTTTACTTTTGCAGTTGCGCAAAAATGCAGGCATCACATTTTTCTATAGCATGCTTTTGGGCGCTGCAAATGCTCGTCCCCCAAGGGGGCGCTTTGACAGCCAGGGTTGCCATGGCGCCGATAATAAGCAAAAAAAGAACCCGTCTGTCACTGCTGCAGCTCTCAAATGAACTGGCGAATTAAAAAAGGCTTTTCTACTTTGCGATGCATATACGATGCCTTTTTGGTCTCATTAAAAAGTTGTAAATCATAAAGGTTTTCGACTTGACAGCCCTTAAACTATTACTTTAATTCTTTAGCTGGTTTCCTAAACTTTTATAGAGAATCAAAGAACCGCCTGACAACCCTGGCCAAATCATATATAAATCCCATATTATAAGTACGATTTTTCAAGTATTTATACAGTTCATTTGATATATTTTCCCCCCCACTCACCTTTGTTGGCCAATTCAAGTGCAGTGGCTATTGCCGCTGGGGCTGTTGATGTTGCTACTGCTGACGAGGATGCTGAGGAGGCTGTTGTCGTCGTTCTGGCTGTCGATGTCATCAGTGTGGAGAACACATCGCTGACAGTTGCTGCTGGCCCAGATGCGGATACGGATACCGATACGGACACATCTTTGACAGCCTGCTGCTGCTTTAGATGTTGGGATTGCTGCTGCTGCTGTTGCTGTTGTGGTTGCAGTTGCTGAGATTCAAGAAATCGCCGCTGGTGAAGGCAAGGTGTTGGCATTGACGCCTCCGTCGGCGACTTGAGCGGCATATTGGGCACCTGCAATTAGCAAAAGGCAACAAATTGGCATAATTAGTGGAAATGCTTTGCAACAATCAAATTAGGCGCCGCAGTCACCCAACAAAGCCCGCAAACCAACACAAACGACGACGTGGAGACCGCACTGGCTGTCAAATATGAAATCGAAAATTTAATCAGCGCGCTCGGAATGCCAAATGCCCAAACCCCCGGGTCCACTCCACCCCACTCTGGGCACACACACACATCGCACATCGCATGGGGAACCGCACACTCGGCGGGGTGTGAGAGCTCGCTCGCTATTAATTTGCATGGGGAAACGTGAGTCGCATTCGTTAAAAATTAGATAAGCGCTTGGGGCGCCATTTGGCATTAACGTTTTCATACCCTTCAATTAGAAAAATACGCCTCGGCTAATCTACGAAATGTTGCCTCACATAAAGGTCTATTATTTCAGCTAATAAATTTTAATGCTTTGAGTTTCCGGAACTTTTAAGAGTTGATATACTATAAACGTAAATATATTAAAATGGGGGATATATGGGTCTATGATACTGTACTTTAAATTTTAAGTCGAATTTTTAGTTAACTTAGCACAATATAGTCATAGGTATCTGGAAAACACTGCACATATGCACATATATGTACATAGTAGACTTCTGCATGAATGTACTCATTTGTAGCATAACAGATCTGTACAGTAGTGTAGAGTTCTTAAAAATACTGCACCCAATCCTTTCTGTACAGTATACTCTATAGGCCAGAAGTAGATAGCACAACATTTTTAGTGTGCCCACTTTACGTGAGTGCAGTATATGGTTGTACCCTTCGGGAGTGAGTACTATATTTGCTGTACAGCTTGTTAGTTGTACAGCTTGTTAGTTGTATGTGTACAACTGTGCAGATGAGTTCAGTATTCTTCAATAAGTGCATAAAAATGGTACATAAAATAATGTTTCTCCATTCTAATATTAAAAATTTAAATATAAATTCTTTAATAAAATAAAATTCTTTATAAGAAATACATAGTACACACGAGAACTCTATATGTGTGCATGTACCAGTCATGAAGTTTCACTCACTGTACAATAAGTCAACTGCACACCAAAACACTGTACAGTGCCTGACTACTGCACACCATTTTTGCTGTACTCATAAACAGCTGTACAGCTATGGAATGAGTGAGAACACTGTCTGTCAAAACAGAGAATACTACCCTACTCACTCACATCCAAGTATACTGTGCAGTAAAAAGTGTGTTCCCGTTTCTAGAATAAGTGATTCATTTGTCGTTTTGGATGCATTCATGCAGAAGTCTAGTACATAGTTCTATCCTTTAGGGTTATATTTAATGATCTGATAATTGAAAGTTAAACATCAAGGTCTAAATGAAATCTCTGATTAATTAATTAATTGTACAGTGTCATAACCGCATAAAAAAACAGCATATTCAGTAATCTATGAGAAGTAAAGAAAATATGACACATTCTTCACTTGTTTTTTCTGCAATCAATGTAAACGGATTATTTGGGGTTCCCCGAAATCAGCAAACTCGCTCTACCAAATTCAAATCAGATTTTGGCCACATTGTAAATTCAAATTATTACCGGCGAGAACTCCCTCCCCCCCATTTGTGTGCAAATTGATGAGTCAAAACATTGGGTTGATTACTTTGGAACACGACCTTGGGCCCCGGGGCCTGGGCATAGCACAGTCCAATTAGCATTTTGTAAATGAATACCCGACTACAACGACAACGAAGCCCCGGCCGAGTACACATGTAATCCAATCAAATGCATCAAATTCATCATTATCGAGTTGGGCTTTGGGTGAGATCAAAAGACTGGCAAATGTGTTGCCATGGCGACCGCAGAGGTACCCACCCCTTCCGCAGCATCTACTCCTCCTTCGCCTCCACCTCATCCTCGACTTGCTTTTGGGCGCAGCAGGTGCGCATGGAATTTATGCAAATGAATCGACCGGCAAAGGTTTCGATTTGCAGGCCTTTGCCCGCAAATCAGCTCATCCTCCTTCGCTTTTATGAACCATGACGACTACGAAGAGGGAGCTGGGATGTAGTGGTGACTGGGGGTTGGCGACGATGATGGACGACCCTTTTGGGACCGTGCACTTTTTGCCATTTCAATCAGTGGATGGCAATTGCTTCATTGGCCAGCCAAGCGATGGAAACGTGTCGCAACCATTTTTGGGTCAGCAATTTGTACAAAACACTCGGCAACGGACCTTTTAGGATCCGGCACTGGCACTGGCGGAACATTCAAGTGAACATTCCGCAGACCAAAGTTGGTTATTAAACATTAAAATGTTTCACTGCCTCTCATCCTTGCCTTCCTCCTGCTTCTCGGCTTTGCTTTTTATAGCACTGACCGACAGACGGGGACCAAGGAAAAGGAGCAATTGGAGGAGGCCATAAAGTGGCCCAAGTAACCTGACAAACGACCCGAGGAATAAAGCCCGGGGGAGCCCGGTGGCCCGGTGGTACTGTGAGCCAAGTGCTGAAATTAAACGAATCATTGGCGAATAAGTAGAGGATAATGAAACGTGAAACTGGAGGCCATCTCTCTGGGGGGAATTGCGTTACAGCCTTACTCCGTTTAAACAGAGAGAGAGAAAGCCAATTTATTCATAGTGTGAAGAGGAAAGAGTCTATTAATTTGCCACGCCCTGCTGGTAAAAGATAAATCCATTATGTACATTCATTTCAAACTGAAATCACAGCCAAAATCCCATTCCTTGATGTCTGCTTGCTTGGTGCAACTTGTGCTGTTGCTCGTCCCCTTGATGCTGTGTTGCCTTTGTGGCAGTTTCAAGTGCTGTTTTTGTTGCAGCTTGGCTATGCCACTTAGTCAAAAGGCAGTTGGCGTCCGTCTTGCCGCAGAAAGCAAACATAATTTCAACTTTTGAAATGCAATAAAACCACAGCTCATCCCCCCTGGCAACACACAGATCCCCGCCGGCTTAGAGGCAATCCTCCTGCCCCTCCTCCTCCTGTTATGCGAAAGCAAACAGACAAACAAATGGATGTAGAACATTTCGCATTTGCCAACTGGGTCGTCTGGGTTCGGAATTGGGGTTGTTGTTGGAGGTTCTCTGTCGGTAGATCTCCTTCCAGCCGTGTCTGCCTGGCAAATTATATTCGTATATATAATAAATGGTGAAAATAAAAAAATTACACAAATGCAAATGCAAGCTGCAATCAAACGTTGCCATGCCAATGGCAGAAGCTCTCCCTCTGTTTGGGTCTCCTCTATTTCTCTGGTGAAAATTCGATGCGAGTTTAAAACATAATATCCAAATTTAATTGGCATTTAATGGAAAAATAATTAAGCAAAAGCTGTGCACGTCCTGCTGCTCGGTGGCTGTTGCAGCTTCTGTTGGTGACAGCAAGAGGAGCCAGAAGCCACGTCGGGTGCTGCTGCACCTTCAATGTGATGAACGACTATTTGATTACTCGTTAAATTTGCATTCAATTGCTTGTAGAACTTGTGCATTAATTTATTTTATTTATTATTAAGTAATAAATTGGTTTGCATTTGAAGGAAACGGGTTCTTGATTGACAAGATTTCCTGTTTTTATTTTTACTCAGGCACTAGTAAGCTAATTTTTCTAGTATTCTTTCCAATTTTTTAAAATCTAGTTACCTTATAACTTACTCATATTTATTATATCTATAGCATCGCATTTTAAACTCTAATAACACGTTTAACATATGATTGAAATATTAAAACTAAATTACTGTTTATACTTAAACAAGTTAATTATTTAGTCATTTAGTTTATACCTCTGACATTTGCTTTTTATGAGATATTTATCATCTCTTGACATTTTCAGTAAGCTAATATATTTTCGTTTTTATTTTATATACACGACATTATCTATGAGTTTTGTCAAGTAACTATAGCTACATTTAAATACATATTTTAAGCTTAACTCAGTGACAAAATTTTAGAAAAATTTATCTTCATTTTTCCTTAAAATTCTCACATTCATTCTTTCCTGGCAATTGGTTTCCCTGGCAAACCGAGCATATCCCATTGGATATATGCTGAACAGCATAATGGCCACCAAAATGGTTATTAGCAGGAACAGAAGCAAATCCAGCCAAGCGTTGAGGCGACACGTTGACACTCTGCATACACACAGAGAGCGTGCGGCTAATGAATACAACCATTACACACATGACTATACATATAATTGAAAATATATTCATATATACATATATACATTGGCTGTTTACACAAACCAAAGTGTCCATATATAGTGCATATTTGACGTATTAACTGGGCTTATTCCGGGCCGAGAATGAGAAGGAGACGCGGCCACAGAAAGGGGCGTGTTATACACGCAACAAAATGCAAGCGAAAATGCCAGCGAAATACCAACAAACATTGCACTTTTGCATGCATAATTGTGAAAATTAAAACGAAACTCAGGCAGACATCCAAGCGTTAGGGGCGGTTCCATGTCCATGTGGAGCTGTGCGGGAGGAAGGGTTGCTCACCAGGGGGGTGGCCATGCCGGAGTCCAGCCGTGGCAATATGCAAACGAGCTGGGCGAGACTTATGCTGGCGGCGGGGGAGGGGCGCCGGTGCAGGTGCGAAGCATGCACAGGTGCACCGTCGGTGTTGGGTTTCATTAACGTCATAATGACTGTCGGGCGGCTGACTGCTTTAATCCTTTGTCGGGGTGGACTCTACCTCTGTCTCTGGCCCGGGCTTTCAACCAGCTCGGACACGGCCTCGAACTCGGACCTGGACACGGACACAGACCTCCTTCGGGCAATTGTGCGCGCACTCGCAACAGGAACTTGCTGCGCTGCCGGATATGAGTAATCGCTCAGTCACGTCGCCATTGGAGAGTCCTGCAGCAAGATTTTCCTGTCAGGACCGGGCTCCTTCTCCTACTGCAGGGCAACGAGACCGAGTGCAGTGCCATGACGTAACCCACAGCGGAAATCGCTCGACGGTCGCCGGGCGGGCGTGCGTGCAATTCCCTGGTT